AATTAAAGAAAGATAATCTATAAATTCTAATATCAAATTAAATTTTTATAAAAAAATTTAGTTTTCTATTTTTTAAAAAAAAATAGTATTAAAAAATTAAATTATTAGTTTAAAAGTAAATAGTCTATAATCTTCAAACATAAAAATAGAAGTGAGAAAATCCATATACTTCTAAAAAAAATAAGAATAATAAGCAAGCACTTTTATCAAATAGTCAAGGATATAAATGTCAAAGAAAAAAAATTAATATACTCTTGTATCACTCAAAAAGAATAGATATTTATTTAAAGTTAATATAATATTAAAATTGGAATGGCTATTGCTAAAAAAATAAGAAGACTAGAAAGTCTTGAAACACAAGTAAGAACTAAAAAGGTAATGACAAGAATGAAGAAGACTTCATTCTTGCCTCCATATATATTATCTAATTAAGAGCTATGTGGTGATATTCTACATGACCTCTAACAAGTCTCTAACTTATGAGATATATGTCTTAACTTGCAGAGCAAGTATTGTATGTATGTACCATATAGTTAACTTATACCACAAGCTATGAACATGTGCAATACGTGGCTAACTTATTGGCCAAGTTTCTAACCTAACAATCAATTATAAATATGTATAAAATCAAAGCTACGTCTATGAAGCTTTTAAGAAGCTATTTTATAAGATATTATCAAATTAATCTATTTTTACATACTTCTATATAATAAAATTATCTGGATAATTATTAGAATAGATATGTATGTCTATGACACAAAGTTGAGCAACATTCCATTAATAGGTTTCTACTTCATGTGGTAGAATTAGCAACTCTAATTATCCTAGTTTTTGGATATACAAAATAATAATAATTTATACTTATTATTTATATGGAGACAGAGTTGGTATTAAGACTAGTGATAAAGGCTAGAAGCAAAGGCTAAGAACAAAGTAAATAAAGACTAGGAATAAGAGGGATTAAAATGAGAGTTGAAAACAAAAGGAGTGGAGATTAGAATGAGAGTTGGAAATGAAGGGATCGAAATTTGGAAACAAGGAAGTTTGAGATGAAGGCTATTATTTTAATGATGGTTATTGGAGATGATTCATTTATTTAATGATGGTTATGATATGGTAGAACGATTTAACATTCTTTTAAATACATATATATACATATATATAATATTTTTATATATAATATTTTTTAAAATATTATATATATATATATATATATATATATATATATATTAAATAATATAGAAATATATACAGGATTCTACTAACAGGATAAACAAAGAGAAGTGCAAGGAAAAAGTTTCACTTTCTGATGGTACACGAGAGTTACATTGAACGGCCATGATCCTGTATTGCATGTCTTGATGAATGACAACAAGAGTAAAAGATGTTTATTTATTTATTGATGAGGTGGCATCAGCCAAGCCACTAAAATCAAAGTTATCAGGAACGAAGAACCAGAACACCCATATGCCATTTATTTTCATGAGAGAGTGGACTTCACTACAAAAAAAACTTCAAGTAGAGCTCCTAGCACTTACATCATAAGACTAACACTGATTGTGTAAACAAAATCACAAGGCCAATTGTGTTTCAATTGAGGCTCTATTTGCAGCGAACATGAACATGAAATTGTCTCAGATCAGTACCCAAGTCTCAGAATGTCCCTCAACATTAATTTAAAAGAGTGTGTAAAAGGCTGGTGCATGACTTCCACCTTCAAGCCTGACAAATACAGTTAATTTTTTGTTGTATTTTGGAGCCTTACACAGACACATCGCATCCAAGATCTTTGTTTTTGAATTATAGTGAAGACGCTACAAAATAACACAAAAAATGAGAAAAAGTTCACTCTCTGAAACCAGATCTGGTCTTGAAGCAACAGTAGTATGAGCGCCGAAGTGATAACTCCAGAAATAATGTTTATTTCTTTTCGCAGTTCTTCGACATCCAGGAAGGATAATTGTGGGGAGATACAGACGAAAGTTTCGTATCATATCATGAATGATAGCGGTGTTCATTTCTTCTGTGGAGCTCTACATCCCTTGCCACCTTTTCGCAATCAATCTCATGAAAGATGAGCACTCGTAACTAATTGCACTCATGGTGCCGTTTCTGCCTCACCTCAAGAAGAAGAAACCCCTGCAAATCACCCAACAATCCAAGAATTAGCAAGTTTGGAAGCTCTCTCATACTCCTATGCAAAGTTTTTTTGGTAGATCTAGTTTTCGTAGTGCAAGATGGAGAGAAGAAAACACGGTTGAAAGTGGTTCTTAGTCTAGTTTCGAAAACACCGACACTATGTGGTGCTTGTATTATGTGCTGCTGATTTCTTTGTTGAATCAGTCTTTAAGTCTTCCATGTACATGCATTTGCAAAAGGTTGAATGCTATAGTCGGTTGCTTGCGGTGTAGTATCTTACAAATAATGTTGATGTCAGTTCCGTCTCACATCTTTACCCACATTTTTGCAAAGGATCTATTTTGGACTATTCTAGACAGCGCTCATTGTGAAGTTGTAGGTGGTAAGTCACACTCTTGCAAGTTCCATTTCCATTAAAATTTTGGAGTTTGTGGGTTTGGAGGAATTCTGGTGCAATTTTTTTGTAATATTGTCTTGTTTAGAGTTCTTTTTTAGTTTTGGATGGAAAACTCTTCTAGCTGCAGTAAGCACACCATGTGTAGAGATTGGTACATCAGTGAGAATCCCCAACGGAAGATTTTTCTTTGAATAAAAATGTTGAGATTTTATCTAGGTAGTATTTGTATTGGTTGGTGCCCCTTGTTTGCTGTTGCTATAATAAGTTAGATTGATCAATGCAGTTGTTGATGTAATTGTTGTTTGAGACTTTGATATTTTATATTAATGTTTTTATCATATCAAGTATAACTCATTTGTTGGGCTCATCCAAATTCTAATACAAAACATACACAATGTATTCTTAAAAATAATCTTCCAAAAAGTGGTATATTAGATTCAAATTCTAATCTTTCAAAAGTGGCAATAGTCAAATTCTTTTCAAAATTCATATCTTTATAAAAAAAATCTTGTAGACCTTCCCTAAAAGTATGTGGGCTTTAATTTAGTTATTTTAAAAATATCTTTAAATATTTGAGCTTTACTCTATAAAAGGATTATGTAAAAAATTAGATGATTAGTGTTTCTTGTTATGTAATAGTCTTGTATGAGACTTCTTTTAGCTTTGCAAATATAAATATAAATATAGTTTTAAGGCTATAATAATGTTATTCAATTCTTTTATTTATGTTTTTAGGCTCTAAGTCTTGTTGTATTTTTCCAAACATCATATTATATATTTTTATTTTATTATATGTTGTTTATGTCTTCTTTATCATTATATTTATATAAAACCATTAACTTGTGTATATAAATCTTAACGTATGCATATGGTTGGTATTTTTTTAAATAGTATCTTAGGCATTACTAATTATATTATGTATGCCACATGTTAAAGAAATATTTAATAATCTATAACAATATATTTAATTTAAATTTAATTGGAATAAATAACAATAACTTTTTTTGAAATTTTATTTTATTTATAGTTTAAAAAATCAAATTTTTTTATCATATCAATTTAAAGAGCAAAAGAAAAATTAGAAAGCATAAAATAACACAAACAAAAGTGTGTAGTATGAATTACATTGTAATTTACAACTTTGTAAAAGACAATTTTCTAAATTTAGCACTATTATTAATATTAAATCTAAAAGAACCAAATGAAACATTTATGTTGTGAAAGCAAGAAATTTTTTCCTTTATTTATATTTTTTAAAATGTATTTATTTTTTATAAAATTAGTCCTAGAATTAACACTTCTTTTTAACATGTATCTCGGTCCAAATCACGACACCAAGTTCTAAAACAAAATAGTTCAAGATTCAACCTAGAAATGTTGAAGTTTCTTTAGTTCAGATTACATGTTCTGTAGGTAATCAATAACATCTAAGACATCATTATGTCTATCTTATACTTGTTCATTCAAAACAACAATGTAACAAAAATGATAAACAAAGATACCCATACACCCTGAGCTCTAAAATAGAAAGTTCTTTTTCTCCCAAATTAGACTAATTGTCTTGAAGATACTTGCTGCATACAACTCTGTTGACTTGAACTCAAATCATGGGTAGCTTTGCTGGAACATGCAAAAACCAGTTCAGCTTCAAACTTGTGCTGTGGAATAAAATCTCCTGCTGTGACGAAGAGATTTCAGGGTACACACAATGGAAGTGACCAAAGGAACAAGCAATAGCAAGTATTTCGGAAAATGAATCGAAGAGCAAGTAATGTACTAGGCTTGAAAACTCCAGTTGAGAGGCAAGAGGACCATAGGCCGCATTCTGTTGAGGAGCAAGTGCAAGATGCAGAAATTCAGGTCCAGGCTTTAAGTACTGGGGCCAAATGCGAGTGCTTCACCTGGGTAGCAAGTGGCAAGGATAATCAATACACCGGAGTTAGCCATTCAACAAAGGACGACGGCCACCAATGGCTTCCCTGTAGATCTGCTTACAACCAACGACTTCACAAACTTCTCATTCAATCCGTGTGGTTGGATGCAGACAGTCCTAAGATGGGTGGAGACATGCATAAGAACGGGACAGGGAGTTGCAGAAAGGTGAAGAGCTACAAGCGAAATCTCTAAGTACAAAACTGACAATTTAAAAAGAAAAAGTGAATCCACATGAAAGAATGCGAAGCCAAAGAGTTTCGCAGCGAATGTCCAAAAGCGACTCAAGATGGATGAGACCAAACAAGACAGGACATGGGAAGGTATTCAAATATGATTGAGGTGAAACTCAATGAAAAAAAATATATATAATTATAAAATTATAAAAAAATAATAAATAATAATAATTAAAAAAAAAAAAAAAACACTTGAAAACCTTGCTGAAAATTCGTTTAAATGAGCCATTTGTTTCACTTAATAAAAGTACAGATATCGCTGCACAGAAAACTCCTCTTAACCAACCCTTATGACATTACAAAAAAAAAGAATTAGGGATAAATGTAGATAAATTACCCATGATGGAGCATCAGGGCATCATATGGTACAAATAGGGTGCCATCACTCACATTCTGCCGCTCCACCGAACAGCTGTGTAACAGCAAAATTATCACTTGAATCGTAAAGATCCAAATGCGCCATCACGCACATTCTTTAACTCGCCTCACCAAGAAAATTGGACCCGCCATGAGCGTGAGCACATGACGAGTAGTAGCCTATTCCTCTCTCCCTCTTTCAATTGAATAGTATGTTACCTTTGATTGCCTCGGTTGGAATCAAAACGGAGTTGATCTCAATATTCCAGGGCTGATTTTAGCCCTCCCCTGAACCCATGAGGTCAAACCCGTTTGCATCCCCCTCTACTTGCTGCAAATCTCACAATTGATCCTGCTTGAGCAACAGCCCCAGGTATCTACCTTAGGATGCCTCCATCAAGCACTCGAATCAGGCAGCATTACAAGAATATCTGATGATCAGCGAAGTAAAGCTTGGAATTCTAGTTCTCATCCATCCGGTGTTTCAGTAAAACGCCAGCCTTCTCAATCATGGACGTCGTTCTTCACTCCTCTTCCTGCGGATGCTGCTGCGTTTTCCTGACGATGCATGGTTCTTAACCACTGGCTTGCCAACGACAGGACTTGAGTCACCTTTCACTTCCTTCACTACCGCTACACTACTAGAATTTGCAACAGGCAACAATCCTCTCTGCACAAGGAGATCCCGATGGTATACCTGGACGACAAAATTACGACGTTCACAATCCTTGAACATGGTCACCCGCCACGGCACAGCAGCCATGAGCTTGTCACGGACAATGCCAAAACTGAGCTGGTCTCGGGAAGTAAAGCGATCCACCTCATTAAACCAGAGGCACGACATTAGGTTGGCAATTGGGGTGTGCTCACGAATGATCACGCAACCCTCAGGAACATCGCTCGTGATAGGGAGCTTCGCGGTAGAGTACGGAGTCAACCCTTCTTTCTTGTAAAAGTTTATTTGATCATCAATGGACTTGTTGTTGTACTTCGCAGCAGCCTTATTTGCTTCAGCTTCCTCGAACACATCAAACCTCTTGTAATGTTGCGAGATGGCGAAGGTCTCATTGGTGCGCCACAGAAACCTCTCCAAAATTTTGTACGGATCTTGCACTATCTCCAGCTTACCATCAGCCCAAATTGAGAAACGTACATTCGGAAACAACCTGTGAAGCAACAGCTTGGGAATTTTCCCAGTTCTACGGGCATCCCTGTAGGGCAGATTGCGCACCACCACGACACGCCACAACCCTACCTGCTTCGTGGTTCTGAAATTCTCATAATCATCGAGCGACGCTTCTGTCTCCTCGTCTACAAACATGAAGAAGCAAACCGACTTCTTAGCTTCATCACTGACATTCTTAGGTTGCTGCAGCTGATCGTAATTTCCGAAAATTGCCGACGCCACCACCACTCCCCGACACGCGAGCATGGCCTGTCGATCCTCCTCGTCAAAATCATAACCCGTCCCCAGGCCAGGCGTTGGTCCTTTTACAAACCCGCAATTCACCTTCATCTCCTCCCGCACGTTAAAACTGGCAGCCCGATCCTCCAAGCTAGGGTAACCGCCGAACGCTGACCCAGGTGCCCCTGGCGAGGGCCGCTTCGCAGCATCCGGATCGCTCACGAAGGTCAATCGCTTCAAGACGGGCGACTGATACGTCCCCTCCGCCGGCAACTGCGATATAGCGAGCTCCTCGTCCAGATAGCAAACTGGGCATGGCCGCGGGCCCGTGCGCTTAGGATCTGCCGGGGGCTGCGGTACCTTGAATCTCTCACACGGATGCGGCTTCAACACTTTACGCTCAACCTCTGGCAACACCATCACCTTCACATCCTTCCCTCGCTCTCTCCCTAACCGGAACAGATCTGCCATCCCCGCGCTCGCGTTCAAGCTCATCTCCACGTGCTGTCCAATCATAGTCGCATTGTTCAACAGCATCAACACAGACAAGCCGATGATCCCCAACGCCATCCACATCCCGGCCACTCTCCGCGAACTCGAACTCAACGAAAGCCCCCCACCTCCGCCTCCTCCTAATCCTCCTCCTGCGCTCACTCTCTTCTCCTTCTCCTTCTCTCCACGGTACCGCTTCGCACCACCGCTGTTGCTCCCAAACATCCACAACAGGCGACGTAAGAAGCTCACCCCCGTGACCAGGCCGCCATAGCGGCCTCGCCATTCCTCCCTGCTCTCCCTCATGCTTTACCATCAATCACTCAAAACTCCGCTCTCCCACACACCATTCTCCCCGATCATGAGTGAACTCCGCACTCCTTCACCGAAAAAACAAAGTTCCCAAAACATCGGCCTCAGTCAATCCCCTGCCTCCTCTCCTTTCTCCTCCGAGCTCCGGCTCACGATTCTAAACGCGACGCCATCGCAGTAGAAATGGGTGCAATGGTTTATGGAGCCTTCCAAGTCCCGCAATTCGCCGGAACACAGAGCGCGACCAAGCCTTGCAAGGATTCCGTGGATGAATGAAAACGTGGATGGATGGAGGAACGAGGGGTGTTCGTGGAACAGGAGGAAGGGTGCCAGTTATCATTCATTCGTTTGTTCGCGTTGGTTGTCAGTACTGGATTCGGGTGGTCTTGCCCCAATCAGCTTGATCGGACAAACCCGTTCCCCAACACGACCACCGTGGGAACATGCTTTCTTTTTTCTTCTTCTTTTTTTTTTATCAGGAGGAAAAAGTAAGGTTCGCGTTTTCGGAAAAGTAAACGTCTGTGGTTCTTGTGCCTTTTGCCTTTCAGCCCTGGTGCTCCTCTTTGTGTTTGAGTGTGTGATTTAGGGGACCCCCCCCTCAATGACTGGATTAGCTTGTTAGACGGTCTGGGACACAAGAATTCCACATCCAATTGCTTACTAATTCACAATTACTTTTACTTTTTTAATATCATATATATGTATATATGATCTTTGGTGAAAATGTAAACCCTTATTTATTACAAAAGAGTTTTTGTAATGCTACATCCAAATTTTGTTGCATGATTTAAATATTGATTTGAAATCTATGTTAAAATATATATATTTTTTATATGTTTTGAATTTAATTTAGATTAATATGTGCATTCTCTACTTTATTTTTTTTATTTTTTTTAAAGATAATAAAACAGAACTAGGTTACTAATATAACAATTCCATCAATTCAGCAACCACAAAAACAACATGATAATAATAAGAAGAAGAAGAATAATAGTATAAATATTGAATGTTTTTGCATTGAATATTTTCTATGATATCATTGTTAACAAAAGTTAATGTTGTAGTATACAACAATATGTATACTTCTAGTATTGATATTATCTTTGTTGCTGGTAAGAAATAAATAAAATTTAAATTGTTAATAAAAAAGAAAATAAAAAATTACAATTTGTATCCAAAAAGCTAATATAACCAATTTGACATAATTTTACCACGAATAATATCATCTGTTAGACATAGTGTTCATAAAAGAATGTACATTGATGGATTAAATTAAAAGATAAAAATGATAGAAATAAGAATGCAGGAAAATTAATAAACACACAGATAGATAGATAGATAGATAGATAGATTCAGATTTACACATTCCAGTGTACACAATTGTGTTATTATAAATAATTGTGTTTTAAGTTTAAATAAATTGAGTTAGAATAAACGATGATTATTGTCACCAAACATGATAAATAAACATGTTTTTTACATTTTATCAATTTTTTTAATTGAATATTTAACTATGAAATCTCAGTATTCTTATTTTTTTATGTTTCTTTTACCTTTTACAGTTCAACAAGATTACTTATAAATTTGTAAATTTCAACTATCTAATATTTTTGATAGGAAAATTTGAAATTTTCATAAATATCAAGACACATCAAATCATAACATCTAATAAGTTGTAAGAAAATATTATTGTGTTATTTAGAGCGTATTAAAAAAACGTACTTTTGCTGACTTGTTTTTATGATTTTTAAACCTAGTTAACTAAGTAATTGATTACACTGTATTGATCTTCAACAATTCCTTCAAAAATTCGTCTTTAACCTTTATTTTTTTTGTAAGATATAAAATAATATTTCTATTCTTACTTATCATGCTTTTTTTATTAAATAGCATTTAATTTTTCAGATATACAATAAAAAATTATTCCCTCAATCTTATATATTTTAAGTTTCAAAAGCAAATTTAATGGTAAGTGAATCAGATGTTGATATTTTTAATAGTTTAATCATTGAAAAATCATAAAAAAATGATAAACTCGTAAATTTAAACTATATTAATTTAATATGAGTCCTGAAAATTTTATTCCAAAATCAAAGGTTAAAATTTTAAATTTTAATAATAGTTTTAGAGACAAATATTTCTAAATTCATGATCTATAAAAAATGTATATTCGTGTAACTTTTATAAATAATAAATATTTTATTATAACATATCATATTATGCAACACATCTTCAAAAAATAAAACTATATTATTTATATGTTGCACAGTATGTAAGAGCCTTTGATTGTTTTATGCTAAAAATATTCCAATTGATGATGAATATGAAATTGACCAAGTTTTTTCATTTAAATTTACTTTATAAGAAACTATTCATAGTTTTAAAAAAAAGGTTTTATTAGACAGACAATTTTATTCTTTATTATAAACAAAGATATTGTAAGCAACAATGGATACAATACGAGTATGTGGATTGCTATTATATGAGTTTTTTTAGAACAATGTTAAGTCTAACCTATATCAAAATTCTAATTCAAAGAATATATAAAAATCAACTGAAAAATAGAACTACATGCTAATCCAATAGAGAGATGAACAAATGCAGACTTATGAGAAGAGTTGTTTTAATACATGTAAAAAATAAAAAATGAAAAGAAAAAAGAAGAAGAAGAAAAGAAAAGAAAAGAAAAAAACATTAAAGACATTGATTTACATTCTACCAAAGTTTATCCATCTAGAGTAAATATCTTTATATAATATAAATATTTTGTTTTAATAAGAAATTATAATTAACAAGAAGATGTTAAAGAGTAGAAACATGTACACTACACTATATTTCAAATTTAACGGTTAATGATTAATAAATTATGAATAAATTGTTATGAATTTATTATTGTAATACTCCAAGTAAAGACCTACAATGTGGTAATATTTAGCTTAGTTTCTATTTTTTGGTTGATAAGAAAATTGTATAAATCTTCATCAACTAATAATGATCAACAAATTGGTAATATTTAACTTGTCTCTGTATAAAAAAATTAATAGATGAAATAATGTAATTACTTCTAAATAAGTAATTATTCACACACTTGAGATTCTTTTTTATAGTACTTAAATTCTATGTATTTAAAATAATAGAATAATTGATATATTTTATAGATTGATTTACCTAAATTTTTTTTTAATCTCTTTCATAAAAATGTATCAGTAAAACAAAAAAGAAAAGTAATGAAAATAATAACAGTTATATTATTAAAAAATTGTTATTTTTATTCTGTCGCTTTTAGAAGAATTCAAATAAAACATTATCAAAAATCACTATATGTAATTAATATTTTTTTGAATTATTAATCAAATCTAATATTTTAAATGAGAATATATATTCTATTTTTATATATGTTAAAGAAAATAAAAGAGAACAAGAGAGAAATTAAGAATTAGGTGGAAATATACTTAGAAATATTTATATTAAAAAGATCCTAATCAACTACTTATTAAATATAATTTATTAATTAAAATAGATCTTAGAAAAAAAAATTAATTTTTTATTTATAGCATAATTATTTAAATATATATTTAAAAAAATTACATAAGTGGTTGCATTTGTAAATCTAAGTGGTTGCTTAATTGTTTTTATTTTTTATTTTTTATACCAATGGAGATACTTAATAAAGTATACATATGTTAAAATTCAATATATATATATATATATATATATATATATTATAATAGTTTTAAATAGACCCAAGTCTTTACTAAATCGAGCTACTTGTAATGAAGAATATGATAATTATGATGAGTGTGATTGGTTTTCACTGATTTTGAATTTAATAGTAGAAAAATAAATCTAGAGGTCATTATTTTTTTCATAATAATTAGGATGGGTGGATAAATTTTCCAAAAGCTTGGATATATTTAACATTTTCCATATTTTATGCTAAATTGATTCACACTTACAAAATAGTAAAAGTCTTTAAGTTTTTATAACATAAGCATATTACCAAACCATTGGCTTATCTTCCTTGAATGTTTTTAAGTATACTCATATGTAGAACTTTAAAATAGAAATTGTAGTTAATGATTAGAATAGTCATAATGTATCTTATTAGATAGTTTTATACATTATTGGAACAACATGGTTTTAGAAAAATAATAACTATAAATTATTTTTAAACAAAAATTATATTTTGTATTTAAAATAATGTATATAATGCATAAAAACAATTAAACTATAAACATTTAGGTGATGTAATACAATAATTTTCTACAAATTTTATTATAGAAAAATCCTTAATAAAATATCAAAGCATATAACCTATTTTTTAAATTTTATTTAAAAATATATAAACATTTTCATAAATCATATTTCAAAAATAAATTGTAAGATAACATGGTTAATATGGAATAAAAAAATTACCCTTATTTAATAAATTATATTGATAGAAGATTAAATTTATATTCAGATTATCTATGTTTATTAATTTAAACTTTACTTGGTCATACCCAAGCTATTAAAAGAAATTATTAAACAAAGGGCATAGTTTTTTAGCTACATTTTATGATAATAAATTGTAATGCCACCAAAAGAAACAATCTTAAAATAAAAAAATTACGATGCGTTTTTAGTAGTCTTAAGAAACATCAAACAAGTTTAAAACATTGGTTATGACATAAATACTATTAACAAATCATATAATATTTTAAAAATCTAAAAATAAAAGTAAATATTTGATTTAAATTTTAGAATTGAATATAGGTTGTCCACAAGTCTATGCTAGATTGAACCTCTGTCTTAGTTTAATAAAACAAACAAAGAAGCCAAAACACACACACACACACACACCCTTGAATAACTTCAAAAGAATATTCAAAAGAGAAACACAATTATATTAACTATGTTAGAGTGTGACCACCCTCAAAGTTGACATGCATTAAAACCTGGAAAGTATTTGTGGACCACTAGGGCTCTGGTCTTGTATCTCTTCTCACATCTCCCTTTCTAACAAGTAATGCCCATTCTCACAATGCCCAACTCCAAATTGCATTGACGTAGGGTTTGACCGCCATCGGTGTGGGCCAGGTCTGCGGCTGTTCCCCACATGTCCTCTCACGCGGAAGGGATCACCGACGTTTGAAAAACGAAGTTTGAATGTGCTCACGAGTTTAAGCATGACATTGTTGCAGCTACGGCCTGCTCGTCGCTCACTGTACC